GAATAACGCTAAGTTCAACACATCTCTGATAAATGCATTGTATGTTAGCATGGGAATTAGAACAGATGTTTCAATTTCTAAACTAAGACCGATTAGGAAACAACAAGTTGATTAATCGTTTGGGGGAACTTCCTCAAAGTATTTTTATTTTTATTTTTAAAATTGCATGTTACCCGGTATAGGTTTTTTTCAAGGTTTGATATATTGGTAATTATTATAAGAACATGTACATGTCATAAACAGGAGAGACCATTTTATCAGCCATTTTGGACAAGGTAGGTACTTTAGTACCTAAAAATGATCAATACAAAACAATAATGGTATTTTCAAAAAAGGATTCGGAATTCCAAAAACAAATAAATAATTTGCTGTGCCTGTGAGTATACACTGAATCATTGTGTCACAGTTGCAACCGAGCCAAGTTGAGACTGATGGGCGCTCTGCCTAAGGTGAAATGACAACAGTAAAATTGCACATGCATGAGTGAGGCTGTTAATAGGGGCAGTACATATTTATGGTTAATTCCAGGAAATTAAAAGTGTTTCAAATAAATCATGGTCTTGATAATATGAATTTGCAGAAGAAAAATCAATGAAACCTTGTAGTAATAGAATATTATGTTTTGTACGTGGTTTACTGTTAAGTCTGAGTGTTTTTTGTTTTGTTCATAATATTGCATCACCTTTTTTCTGTTTAGTTTACAATACTGTTAATCTGTTTAGTGGTTTCTTTACTGTATGGTGAGGATGTGTATTCATTTTAGTGGGTAATTAAAAAATGTCAAATCCTAAACATCATTATCTGTCAATGACACTCTTCACTTTATTTTATACTTTTTTTTGTAGAAAATAAATTATTTCAAACTAAATACCAAATTTGTGTATCCTTTTCCTAAAAAAAACAGTAAATTTGTTTTGAATAGAACTAAAATATTTTAATAAATGTTACAAATATAGTATTCAAAACAAGTTAAAGAACACCCACAACTGGAAGGCTTTGTGTTGCCATGCCCACCAGCCATGACAGATTAACTGTAGCCATTTTGAAAAAAATGGGTTTTCTTTAACTTCTTTTGAGTAGCATATAAACAGACTTTAAATATTGTATTAAGTGTCCGTGGTTTATAAAATCCATTGTCAAAAGTCATAAAATAAAGGCAATTTATGGTTTCATCTATTCTCATATGCAAAAATGACTAAGAATGTATTATCAAATTTCGATATGGGTTGAAGAAGTCAAACATTTTTCTTGATGTTTAAGTATCATTCTGAAACCAGTTCCTTGGCTGAAGTCAACTCTCCAGCTGATATATATAGCTGGTTATGATGTTGGAAAATAGTCTGCTAATGACTCTTTGGTTGCCGAGATAAGAGTTGTCAGTACACATGTCTTGAGTGTGAAGCAATGGAGATCGACCATCAAATCATACACACAGACAGTGTTTCATTGCTATGGTATAGAAATATGTGCAATGATGACATTAATATTTGCTGCCACACCATATGCTTAAATTTGTTTCAGGAAATGCAGATTTAATGGATTAAAGCATTATCATTTCACTTTATTTGAAGATGTTTTTTTCTGAAATCCAAACCTAAAATGACTGATTAGATGAGAAAAATTCTTACAATTCCATCAAGGTTGTGTTTAACATGTTGACTGGACAATTAACTTCTTGTACCATTCGTTTAGATTAAGATTACAGATTCTAAGCTTAAAGTCAAAGTTGAAGGCATTTCTTTAAAATTAATGTAATGGGTTTGTCTGGTGTAATCAGCGATGTGATATTTGACTTTGGCGTCAGTGATTTTCTCTGAACAGGTAAATTCTGTAGAGATTTGTGAAAAAGTAGTTTTCCTGAATAATTTTTGACGAGTGCATTTAACCATATCCTTCTGCCGTCCCTCGTACTATGGCCATACATAGCACGGAGTCGTTATTTGCACTTGCTAAATGTCATGATATGCATGCTTAAACATAAATAGCATTTAGTTGTGCTGTATGCACTCAAATGGCAACATTCCCAAGCTCAGTGAATGAATATACAGGGTGAAAGCAAAAGCTGTCCGTTTGTTAATGGTCTCAATGATTTAACTAAGGAAGATTCACAAGAGAATCTTAAGAATGCAAAGTAAATGTGAAAAGTGGGTAGTTGGTCTAAAAGCAGTTTAACTGTAATTGCCAAGCTGATTTGTAAGAACATACAGCGAGAGCAAAAGTTATCTTTTTGTATATTCAGTCTCAGGATTTTACTCACAAAGATTCACACACCAACATAAGACTGCAAGCAAAGTAAATGTGGAAACTGGGTTGTTGTTGTTCCATATGCACTCAAATGTAATACTCCAAGCTTAATTTTATTAATATACAGATATTGCAAAAGTCCTTCCATTATAGTTGATCTGTTTTAACTCCAAAGAAGATTCAGAAAACAATCCTAAAAGTGCAAGCCAAGCAGTTGTGAAAATTGGCTGAACATCAGGAGGAATTATATACTTCTCAAAAAGTTTAAAAAAACATCTGATTTTTTCATATATCAGGTGTTCTTTAACTTCTTTTGAGTGATATATATAAATATATATACATAAGTGTTGAAAGTTGATGCTAAAATGTAATTTTGCAAAGTTTCAAAGTTTCACCAACATCAGACAATGGACAGTTTCTTGCCAATACAAAAAACTCACTGAGTTGAACTAACATGTGTATAATTTCACGAGACTCAATACACATTCCTATTTCCTTCTCTTTTCCATGTAAGCCAATATATTCACAAGTTGCTTTTCCTATTAACAAATTAACACTTCATTTTTTAAACTTGATACATGTATCTTTGATCTTTTTTTCAACCAATCTACAAATCTTTGATAACCTTTAACAGACATTTATATAATTTGCTTTTTAAGTTTTTCAAATGACACATTCATATCCTTACATAATAATTATTTTTTGTCCTGATATCAATATTTGGTCAGTGTTGAATATATGATAATATTACAAGAGTACACAGTGCTAATGACTTTCAAACTGAGAGAGGAACACTCCTTCAGAAAGAATATGTACCTTCTGTAAAACTAAAGAAATAGAAGATGAAGAACACATTCTGTTGAAATGCCCTCTCTACAATGATCTGAGACTGGAACTAATATCATCACCCTAAGCCATACACCCGATATCACTTAAAATACTACTAAATACACCAGCGCCTTCTGCAAGATGATCTCCTTTTTCATTGCACATGTTCTTGCACAAAAATATGCATCTCCTGTCTGGACCTTAAAATAGCAATATTTCTGTAACAATGTGTGTATCAAATTTTATAACTTGCTGATATAACTAGTCATGTTCTTACTGTGTAACCTGCCTGCAGTAGGTGTTTGTGTTCAATAAATCTTCTTCTTCTTCTTTTTCTAGTACTGTTACTTCATTGTTTGAACCATAATCTTGTACTGATCATTAACATACTTCTAAAACTGTGTGGTAATTTGTTCATTCATCTGTATATTAAGGACAATATAAGTGTAGAGGACAGTATGATAAGTGTGAGTCTGTTCATAAGTAGGCTCATTGTTTTTACAAAATTACCCTCCTTCCATTTTGAACCAATAGGACGAGACAACATGGAGGTTGGGGGGACTAATACTACTGTAACTTCATCCTTAGGAGCATAAATATCTTTTAGTTTTAATTGTTTTTTTAAATTCACATACATGCACAGTTTATGTGTACAATATTGTCAATATATACTACTCAAAATAAGTTAAAGATCACCCGATTCTTTCATGTTTCATATGACTGGAGTTAATCTGCAGTGGCATGATTTTTGCATATGACTATCGCTAATCTGTCTTGGCATGACAGATTAACTACAGTCATATGAAAAAAATGGGTGTTCTTTAACTTCTTTTAAGTAGTATTTTTTAATAGTATAATAGGACATAGAGTGTTTGTATATTTGTCAAGGTGTTTGGCTTCCACATAACACTCCTTCTATTCAAACACCAATGACCTGGGAAAATTGATGGTGTGACATGTTAGAAATGTAACATATAAATATCTTTAACTTATCATTGGCGTGATATTTCAATTAAAGTGTAAAATATTAATTTGTCTATGCATCATTTTTGGACAGTATCATAAGAGCTTATCTGTATATAAGCTTCATAGTTTTCACATAACACTCCATCTATTTGACCCTCAATGATCAGACAAAATGGAGGGTAAGAGACTCTGATAATAGACTCTTTATGTACCTTCTAACCATGAAACATTTATTCATGCATTCAAACAGATGAATACCCCCATGGCAGTACCTGGCATACCATTGTGTACCACTAGTAAAGATGTGTACAATAAATACTGTGCTGTAAGCATTCAATAGTGTTTAAAGATGAACAAATATAGAAATATTTCCCCAGTTTTAATACATTCCTATGTGTAATTAATTCAGATCCTGAGTGTAAAGAATATTACACTAATCCAGATTATTAATTGTAAATATCATTGAATAAAAAATTAGATATTTATCATATATCCAAGTAAATATATCCAAGCTTAGAACAAAAGGACTTAAAGAATTCATACAAACTACATGTGATCATTCTCACATGCAAACTAAGCAGGAGTATAGTACAGAAAAGTAAAGTACATATATTTATAGTAAAATTTGAAACCTGCCTGACTAATGTATTTAAGGTCAACATTTCCTTGTCAAGGAGTGCAGGCACAATAAACACACTTCCTACACGTACTGCAATATCATATCAAGATGACAAGCTAAGATAACCAACAATTTTTTTATAGGCTGTGTAATAATATTTCGGGTATTCAGGAGAAGCTCTAGGCTTAGGAACAGATAAGCCAAGGTGTGTTTAGAGTCCAGTGACCCACGCACCCTGTGTGTAACAAACAGAGTTATAGTAGGTATGACAGCCACTATAAATGCAAGGGTTTGATAATGCCATGTAAAGTGTTCACAGTTTGGTCAGTCACACATGACTTACCTTCTTCAAAAGGAAATAGGCTATCCACTCATGAGAGAAACACTGCAGTATACACCATGTAGAGATAAATCCATTGAAGCACAGGATATCCCAAACACGTTATACAATATTACACCAATTTACATTGTAATATCCACAAGTTGTCCTCCTCTCTCTTACCTCACTTATTGGAAGCAGCAGTGGGAGAGTTAAACAATGACTTGATCGTACTCCACACAGATAACGACTCCTGTACTCCAGCGATCACTGGAACGCGTGTACGAACCGTACCTGTTCCGCAACATAGTATGCCTGTGATGGGACTCCTATACCCAATCAGATGTGATCCTCACCGCGGCTGATTACTTGCATGCCGTAGCTGTTCATTCATTCAACGTGCTAGACCAGCATGCGACTGGTGTCTGTGTGGAGAGAGTGTGTGTGTGTAAGTTGAGCGGCTCGCGGAGAGCCCTTTAATTCACACTGACTGACTGACAGACTGTACAGTCACTACGATAGCAGCACATCGGGCAGGGTATTGAAGCAGTGATCAGAAGCACAAATCAACTGCCTCATTATAAGATGCTTCACTCGCATTGGGAAATGGTCACCTCAGGAGGTGATGCTGGTGTCAGGGGTGAAGTGAGGATACTGAGACAAGGAGAGATTTGATTTGGATGGCGTGGAGGACTGTGATGTTGAAGTTGGCACTTGTGTGGAAGAGGGGGAGGGAAGGATGTGACATGGAGATAGTGGGAGAGTAGGAATGCTATAATCTTACAGAGATAAAGAGGACAGTGGCTTCTTACTTCATTCATTGGGGTGGGGGTGACTTAGTTTTGATATAATATCATTTAGATAGGGGTGACAGGGCAGGGCAGGGCAGGGCTCTCTGTTTTACTCTTTGGGGTGGGGGTGACTTAGTTTTGATATAATGTTATTTATATAGGGGTAGGAGGTTAAAAGGGGCTGGGTCGAGAGCAGGGCAGGGCAGGGCTCTATTTTTATTCTTAGGGGTGGGGATGACTTGGGTATAATATGATGTTATTTAGATGAGGGTGGGAGGTTGAAAGGGGCTGGGTCGAGAGCAGGGCAGGGATCTATGTTTTATTCTTAGGGGTGGGGGTGACTTGGGTATAATATGATGTTATTTAGATGAGGGTGGGAGGTTGAAAGGGGCTGGATTGAGGGCAGGGCAGAGCAGGGAAGGGGAGGGCTCTATGTTTTACTATATGATGTTACTTAGAGTGGGTAGGAGGTTGAGAGGGACAGGCAGGGTCCCTATATTTCCCTCATTTGGGTGACATGGAAATTTAGGGATGTAGAAATGTCATATGAATAGGAGTAGGAGTGGGGGTTCAACACTCCACTTATGGGGGTGGGTGACATAGAAATTTGAGGATTTTGTAATGTTATATTGATGGGATGGAGGTAGGGAACAGGGTTTAATACTCCACTTATAGAAGTGGGTGACATGAAGATAGGGTATGTAATAATAAGATATAGATATTGTATGGGTTGGTGGGTGAGAGGGCTGGACAGGGATTATTCAGTATCCTTTTGGGGTAGGGTGAGGTAGGGTGAGGTGGGGTGATGTTGAGATTCTGAGTGTAGGAAACATTACTTAATAAAACAAGTTAAAGAACACCTGATTATTCATATTGCTATAGTTAATCTATCATGGCATGACAGATTAACTTTGGTCATATAAAAAAAATCAGATGTTCTTTAACTTTTTTTAGTCATAAATAGGAGGGGGGGGGGGGGGGGGGGTCTCACCGTCTTCACCGATGGGGATGGAGACATGGAGACACAGATTATCTGTAAAGTGAGGGGGGACCAGGGTTACTTCTCCAAGAGGAGGAAGAAGAGAAAGAAATGTGACATCGATGGGATGGGTCTCAGTACTGCCCTCAGTAACACAAGGTATCACATGTAGATCCTTGCTGGAATATATGATTGATGACTTTATCTATTGTTAGTAGGACAGGGTGCTTCGATCCCCAACAAAAAGGCAATGGAAGAACAGTGCGGCTACTGGAATAAGTAGAAGATGCTATATAGATGAGGTGGGGGACAAGGGTACTGGTGTCACGTTAAATGAGGACACAGGAGAAGCAGAAGAATTGATTTCATTTTGTTGGAGGAGGTGGGTTATTCACCAACAAAGGTCTGAATGAAAGGAATGGCTGCTTACATGGGAACACAAGGAGTGGGATGTATGGGGTTTTAAAGAGTAGGGATGTAGGTGAACCACCCACAATGGTCATGTCAGAGGGGTGGGTGTTGTCATGACGACACTAGGAGGGCAGACCGCTTTGTTTAGGTTGGTTCACTTTTGGTTCTAGGATTTCTGAGATAAAGAAGTTTTGAAAAGTGAATTACAACTGGAGTGATATATGGAAGGCTTGTTACTTTGGTTTTAATGGTATTATAGAGTGAGGTGTAAAAGTAAGACCCATGAATATAAAAATCAGGGTGAGTGTAAAAGTAGGACGGAATCTGATAAGTATATAGATCAGGATACAAGTAAAAGTAAGACTGTGAGTGTAAAAGTAAAACTGAATCTTATAAGGATATGAATCCGGGTAAGTAAGAATCAGGGTGAGTGTAAGGGTTTAACAAAATGGTGCTCTAATGAAATCCTGGACAATAAAGATAGGGTGAGATGTCAGTGGATCGGAGTGGGTTGAGTCAAAGGGTACATGAGCTTACAAAGGCAGGTTAGGGCGGGAGCGTGGGTTCTTTGCTTATTATGTGGGGATAAAGCTTTGAAAGGGGAGGAGATAATTATACAGATTTAGATATGGAGGATACAGATGTCACCAGGCAAAGGAAGAACTAATTGGATGAAGGTGAAGAGGACTGGTTCCAGGAAAAACATATTCATGTTATGTCTAATGTAGATTAAGTCAGATGGTACATGTGAGAGCTTGCTTCTTTCAGTGTAAGTAACAATGAGAAAAGTATATCCCACTCAAGGCAATTATGCATGGTTAAAAGATATTTTGAAACGATGAGGCCACGATGAGGCCACGATGAGGCCACTTTCAATTAATTACTAGATTTTCTTCCATTTTTGGGGTAACAAATGGGACTTCTTTATGTATATATATAGATATATATTTTCCCCTGACAAACTGTTTAAAGCATCTGTGTACATTAATTGTAAATTTATGGAATGCACATGAAGTTGAAGTTGGCAGGGATGAAAATCTAATGATAAATTTATTATGCCTGAGGGGCAATATAATTTAAGGCACAGAAGGAAAGTATAAAGGCAATATAGTTTGAGGCACACAAGGAAAGTATAAAGGCAATATGATTTAAGGCACGCAAGGAAAGTATAAAGGCAATATAATTTAAGGCACGCAAGGAAAGTATAAAGGCAATATAATTTAAGGAACACAAGGAAAGTATAAAGGCAATATAATTTAAGGCACGCAAGGAAAGTATAAAGGCAATAAAATTTAAGGCACAGAAGGAAAGTATAAAGGCAATATAATTTAAGGCACAGAAGGAAATTCTTAGGGCAACTTAATTTAAGGTGCAGAAGGAAAGGATAAGTGAATTATAATATAAGGGATGGAACGAAATTATAAGGGCAATATCATTTAGGTTGCAGAAGTAAAGGTATAAGGGCAATATACTTTTTAGGGGCAGAAAGACAGTATAAGGGCAATGTCATTTAAGGGGCAGAAAGAAAGTATAAGGGCATTATACTTTAAGGGGCAGGAAGGAAAGATATAAGGGCAATATGATTTAAGGGGCAGAAAGACAGAATCAGGACAACATACTTTAAGGGCCAGAAAGACGGTATAAGGGCAATATACTTTAAGGGGCCAGGAAGGAAAGATATAAGGGCAATATGATTTAAGGGGCAGAAAGACAGTATCAGGACAACATACTTTAAGGGCCAGAAAGACGGTATAAGGGCAATATACTTTAAGGGGCCAGGAAGGAAAGATATAAGGGCAATATGATTTAAGGGGCAGAAAGACAGTATCAGGGCAATATACTTTAAGGGCCAGAAAGACTGTATAAGGGCAATATACTCTAAGGGCCAGAAAGACAGGATCAGGGCAATATACTTTAAGGACCAGAAAAACAATATAAGGACAACATACTTTAAGGGCCAGAAAGACTGTATAAGGGCAATATACTTTAAGGGCCAGAAAGACTGTATAAGGGCAATATACTTTAAGGGCCAGAAAGAGAGGATCATGGCAACATACTTTAAGGGCCAGAAAGACTGTATAAGGGCAATATACTTTAAGGGCCAGAAAGACGGTATAAGGGCAATATACTTTAAGGGCCAGAAAGACAGTATAGGGGCAATATACTTTAAGGGCCAGAAAGACAGTATAAGGGCAATATACTTTAAGGGCCAGAAAGACTGTATAAGGGCAATATACTTTTTAGGGGCAGAAAGACAGTATAAGGGCAATGTCATTTAAGGGGCAGAAAGACAGTATAAGGGCAATATACTTTAAGGGGCAGGAAGGAAAGATATAAGGGCAATATGATTTAAGGGGCAGAAAGACAGTATCAGGACAACATACTTTAAGGGCCAGAAAGACGGTATAAGGGCAATATACTTTAAGGGGCCAGGAAGGAAAGATATAAGGGCAATATGATTTAAGGGGCAGAAAGACAGTATCAGGACAACATACTTTAAGGGCCAGAAAGACGGTATAAGGGCAATATACTTTAAGGGGCCAGGAAGGAAAGATATAAGGGCAATATGATTTAAGGGGCAGAAAGACAGTATCAGGGCAATATACTTTAAGGGCCAGAAAGACTGTATAAGGGCAATATACTCTAAGGGCCAGAAAGACAGGATCAGGGCAATATACTTTAAGGACCAGAAAAACAATATAAGGACAACATACTTTAAGGGCCAGAAAGACTGTATAAGGGCAATATACTTTAAGGGCCAGAAAGACTGTATAAGGGCAATATACTTTAAGGGCCAGAAAGAGAGGATCATGGCAACATACTTTAAGGGCCAGAAAGACTGTATAAGGGCAATATACTTTAAGGGCCAGAAAGACGGTATAAGGGCAATATACTTTAAGGGCCAGAAAGACAGTATAGGGGCAATATACTTTAAGGGCCAGAAAGACAGTATAAGGGCAATATACTTTAAGGGCCAGAAAGACTGTATAAGGGCAATATACTTTTTAGGGGCAGAAAGACAGTATAAGGGCAATGTCATTTAAGGGGCAGAAAGACAGTATAAGGGCAATATACTTTAAGGGGCCAGGAAGGAAAGATATAAGGGCAATATGATTTAAGGGGCAGAAAGACAGTATCAGGACAACATACTTTAAGGGCCAGAAAGACGGTATAAGGGCAATATACTTTAAGGGGCCAGGAAGGAAAGATATAAGGGCAATATGATTTAAGGGGCAGAAAGACAGTATCAGGGCAATATACTTTAAGGGCCAGAAAGACGGTATAAGGGCAATATACTTTAAGGGCCAGAAAGACAATTTAAGGGCAATATAC